ACACCCCCCCCCCCCCCCCCCCCCCCCCCCCGCCTCTTTCCCCCCCCCCCAACCCCGAGCTCCCCCCCGACCCCACCCCCACATCCCGCATCCCGACCCCCAGCGACCTCACACTCACCTGCGCTGGTCGGCTCGCTCGGCGAACAGCATCAACATACTGAAGCAGTTCCAGAACGGGAAACGGGTCAGGATGATGGCGCCGAAGCGCATGAGGATTTTAAAGAGGCGCCTGCGAACCTCCAGCGCCATGACTGACTGATCCGGCCCGTCCACAATACAATTCCGGCTGGAAACCCAGCTCCAGGCGTCAGGTTCCCGTACCCTCCCAAACAGCACAGTCCCGAGATCCTGAGGCACAATCCTAAACCTTTAATTATTCTAGGCTCACTGATTAAATCTTACAGAAGTTATTTTTAAATATAAGCCATTTATGTTACCATTTTTAAATAAGTAAACCCTGGGTTGTGATCAATCTTCTGTCTGGCTACCAAACTAATTCCCCTCATCTCAAAACTTCAATTTTATTTAACTCTGTTTCAACTTATAAAATATTGAAATCATAATTTGCATAGCAACATCAGACTTCCAGAAGATGTTCAACTTGGTAACTCACAAAAGGGTTAAATCGTAAAATAAGAGCCCACAGTGTTAGAAGTAATATGTTGGCATGGATAAAGAATTGGCTCAGGGTCACAAAGCAGCTCGTGCTGCTAAAGGGTTCTTCTTCAGGTTGGCAACCCATAACTAGTTGGGTTCCAAAGGAAATAGTGCTGGGTGTGCAACTGTACAATATATTGAAGACTTAACAAGAAGAAAGTGAATGTGCAACACAAGATCACATGAGAAAATTCACTAGATATCATGGAGTGAAACCCTCCATGAAATTCCCCCAAATTGTCACTTAGCTAAGTTTTGGTCAAATTCTACAAAACAAAATCTCCCTTTTTCCTGGGTTTACCTTCAAAACGAAACACGTCCAAATTTACCTTAAGAAAATACAAAGCTTATTTATTTTCCTTTTTCTGGATGAGATAACCTGAAGAGATGGTTGAAAATAATAGACAGAAATCATGCAAATATAATAGTAATCAAACCTGAATTAACCTCAGGCCCTATTTAGCACAATTCCATTTTTTCCAGTTCTTTTGTGGAATGTAAGCTCACAAGAAAGGCCAGGATGTGCTGTCTATGAGAAGATGATGAGCTCCCTTCTTGAATTTCTGCAGTCTACCAGCTTACAAGCTACAGTGATGTTGGAAAGGGAATTCCAGATTTTTGATGTAGCAACAATGAAGGAATGATATAGTAATACGGTTTCAAGTCAGAAACATGTGCAGCTTGGAGGGGAACTTCCAGGTGATGGCATTTCCATGCATCTGCTGATCTTATCATTTAGGTGGTAATGGTGTGGGATTAGATAGTGTTGTTTGAGGAGGGTTGCTGAGTTTCTGCAATGTATCTTACATATGAAAGACAAGGAGTACCTTATGTAAAAGGGGGGGCAGGCTAGATAAGTATTTAGTCATCAGAACTTTGCACCAAATATCAGATTACCAGTGAGTAACACCTTGGGTATCTTGCTATCTGGCTTCAAAATTTGTAAGAAATCTAAAATGAGAGAAGGAAAATTGGTTATGTGCATTTTGATAAAAGACAGCCAGAAGGGATTTAGAAACACCAGATTTTATTCACCAAACTTACTGAAACAATACTGTTTTCAAGGAAAGTATAATATGCTAGAACTTGAAATTATATTGTAAATATTAACAAATAAAGAAGATAATTTGCTATCACCGTGCATATTATGGTGTCTGATATTTAATCACCTGCACTTACACATTAAGATTTTAAAAACTTCATGTGGCATGTTGCTGAAAGTGGGAGTTGATTATGTTACAGCGAAGAAAATGAGCCATGTGTGAAGTGAGTGAATAGAGCAAGCAACTGAGTACCCCTTTAATCAGATTGAAGTTCAAATTAATGATGACTGAGAAGGAAATTTAAATTATAATGCTGAATTAGGCTGGATTTTACAGTCAGTTGTGAAGGAATAGCCATTCATCATACTGATAGCTGTCAGAGATAAATCACAAGTTTCTAAGCAGCAACTTACTTGGCCTAGAAATCATGTGTAGTCAGGGCAAACGACAGTGTGCCTCTTTAACCAATCAGATGGAAGAATCTTCAAGGTCACTCAAAGTGTGTAAATCTAAAAGTATTCATTGGAATATTCATTTCATTGTAAAATATGCAAATAAATATATTAAAAAGGCAAGAAAGATGCCATTAGGAGAGAGAGAAGTAAAGAGACTTGGGGGAAAAAGTGAAAGATTTTTTAAAACTCTCCATCAATGGTTAAATTCTGAGAGGTGAGACTCCATATTTGTAACAGTTAATATTCACTGCTAGACAATGGTAGCTTAAGCTACAGTAGTTAAAACTTATGACGTCCTTCAAAGGGCACTTAGTCTGAAATGAGCAAGACTTAACTTTATGTGGTGAATTTATTTTGTATACACTGCGCAAATTCATACAATTTCATGTAATTCAGTTGTAGGCCAGATAGCAAGATACCATTTTCACAAAGACATTTTTGATGACTTTTGGATTTTTACATTTAAAAAAATGACTACCCCCCACTGCTATGAAGTTGTTGTGGCATAAAACATGGCTTGCGCCATTATTGTTACCATTATTTTGGCATCATATTATGGGCCATGACGTTTGCATCAAGTTCCTTTCTTCACCATAGCACTTTAGAGAAGAAACGAAGTCTTTTCAATGTCACCAGCTAAAGTGGAAGCTCATGGAACCGAGGATAAATTATTGATCTGATTATGAGATTGACTGAATAACAGGAGACAGAATGGGGAAAATAAATTGGTAATCTAATTCACAGCATGTGACTAAGTAGTGATGTACAGGATTTGCTTTGAGGCATCGATTAATCCCCACAGTAATTAACAGTTTAGATGATGGGATAGAAAGCCACACATCCAAATTTGCTGATAATACGCCACTGCCCACTAGTTTGGTCATTCCTGAATAATTTAATTCCGATCTGTTGGGCTTGACTTACCCTATTCAAATCAGAGCTAAATCTCGTTGACCAGCTGACAAAAATCAAGTTATTTAGTCACGCTATCCTTTACTGCCTACACATGTTAGGGTAACTGGTCTATAGCACTATGGTTCTCTCTATTACATTTCTTAAATAGTGGTATGATGTACCCAATTTTTCATTCTAAAGGAACAGTTTCCAAATTGAGAGAACTTTGCAAGAGTGCATCTGTGATTTTCTCACATAACAATGTTCTTTAAAACATTGGGACACAAATCCAGTCCTAAGGATCTGTCATTCCTTATTGCCATTTTCTTCATTACAGTTATTTTTCTGTTAATTTTGGTGAGTCCCTGTCCTTAAGTCAATGTTAGTTTCCTTGCAATGCCTGGCACACTGACTTGCTCTGTTGTAAATACTAATACAAAGTAATTATTTAGCATAACCATCATTTCCTTATTTTTATTGAAAGCTGATCATGATATTGTCAATGTGTCCACAATGCTCCCAACTGGCATCATGTTGATTTTGATAATTGCTACCAAATTTCTTATGGTACTCCTTGCGACTCTTTACTGTTGTTATTTTTCCCATGCTCCAAGACCTGTGCTATTTTTATGCCATTTTATCTGCTTTTCCTTTTAATTTATGTTGTTCCTTTTAGCATAAACATTAGAAATATAAAAGAAAAAAAATCAGTTCAGAAGAAATTACACTGAACAATTTTCATTATAAAATATGCTAATTGTGGTGAAAATAAACTGACTTTTACAGCACAGAAGGAAGCATTCAGCCCATTGTATCTACATCAGTTAAAGATGTAACGCTAATTCTGTTTTCCAGCTCTTGGCTAATAGTCCTAGAGACACGGTCAACACCAGTGAATAATACTGCTAACTACTGCTCTAATACTGCTAAAAATTTCAGGGTTTCTGACTCTTCCACCCTTTCAGACAGTGGATTCCAGATTACCAAACTCTGGGTGAAAAAGTTCTCCTCAACTCTCCTGTTAGTCTTCTACTTTTTACCTTAAATTTATGCTCCCTAGTTATTCAACCCACAACTAATGGAAAAAGTGCCTTCCACTCTGTCTATACCCTTCATAATATAATGCACCCTCTCTGGTGCAATCACATCCATTCAATAATGTGGTGGCCAAAATTGCACATAGTGCTGTTGTTGTGGCCTGCCTTGCATTTCATACAGTTACAGCATCATCCCCCTGCTGTTGTAGATAATTTTTTAATCAAAGATCTTATTAATAACCTCTGGAACAGGTGGAATTTGAACCTGGGCCTCCTGATTCATTACTACTGCGCTACAAGACTATTCTCTTTGCTGTGGTCTTCTATGCCTCAACTAATAATCACAAGTATCCCAGCTGCCTTCTTAACCACCTCATCTACCTGCCCTGCTACCTTCAGGAATTTGTGCACATGCATACCAAGGTCCCTCTGACCTTCAATAATTTCTAGGTTCCTACCATTACAGTGTCATTTCTTTCCTTTCTAGCACTCTCAAAATGTTTACCTCACACTCGCAGGTTGAATTTCACTTCCATTGCTCTGTCCATCAGAGCAATCTGTTGCTATTCTCCTGCTGTTTATGGCTATCCTCCTCACTATTTATCACCCTTCCAACTTTTGCGTCATCCACAAACTTCTTGATCATACTCCCTAGCTTTAACTCCAAATTATTAATGTGCACCACCATTAGAAGGGCAACAGCTCTGAGCCCTGTGGAACTCCACTGAAATGAGACTTCCAGTCACAGAAATATCCCCCTACTCTCACCCTCTGCTTTCTGCCTCTCAGCCAATTCTGAATTGCCACTTTACATTGGATCCCTTGAGTTGTTACTTCCTTGACCAATCTGCCATAATGGACCTTCCATTTAGACCACAAGTGCACTGCCTTTGTTCCCATGTGCCGTGAGGAAACCAATAAACACTGTCTTTACTCGGTTCTGAGGAAGGGTCACCGGACCCGAAACGTTAACTCTGTTTTTTCCTCCACAGATGCTGCCAGACCTGCTGGGCTTTCCCAGCAACTTTGTTTTTGCATACTGTTTACTCGCCTGTTCACTGGTACCCAAAGCTGTATATCATCAGTTGAGTTTTTAATAGCAGCATTTCCATAAAATATCAATTTCCCTTTTCTTTCGCTACTCTGTGTAATCGATAACTGAGAGAGCTTGTCGAGAAAATTTTTTAAAATGTTCATCAACATTGCCCTAAACTGACTGGGAAGTGATGTTCGCCTGAAAATAGAAACTTCAAATGAATATTATTTTCCCTTGTTCTCCAAAGACTGTTTCATTTTCAGCCAATATTCCATCCAGTAGTCCACCTGAGATTGTATAATGTACCAAAGTCTGTCATTATGATACATAATCCCAATTTTTAAAATCGACTTATCTTTGTTCTATTAGCTTTGAATGGTCTCTTCAGAACTAAATTATACCAAACTCTATCAGTTCAATAAACATGACTTTCTAAAGTAGAGTCAAATCATTTGACAGGAATGGTTCAATACAGCTCTTGATCAATCAGTATCTTGAGTAAATTGATGTGTGTTATTCTTTTAACCAAAACAGCAGCCTGTTTTAAATCTGTGCAGAGTACATTTTATGTTATAGTTTTTGATATCCAAGCTACACTTAATTAATGACCTGCAATAGTCACTAACTAAATATGAACTGTAACTGTTGGATGAAGAAACAAATAAACACTAATGTAATGTATTTGAAAACAATTGCTAGAAAAGCTATAGGAAGATTTCCTTCAAATACTGCCTACACATTTTCCATTGTTTATACACATCTCACATTTACTGCATCACCTGTATTACCTAATCCAGCTGTACATTCGCATACATTTTATAAAACTGATATGGGTATAAATGTACATTCATAGACTCTTTTCATAAAGTAATAGAGGTATAAATTCATGCATGTGTTTTATGAAGCAATTATATATATATATATATATATATATAAAATTTGCATACATTCACACATTTTATGATTAAGAACAAACTTATATGAATATTTAATTCAGTCATTGTATACTCAGGTGCTCAGTCACAGATATTTCATGAATGCATCATTTCCTATGCATCTTAAATGCATCATCAATCAAGCTGCCGCACCAGGAGCAAATTAGGTCAAGAGACTGATGCAACTGGTTTGGCCCTGGATTCTAGGATTAGTTATTATCAAATGCTGGTGTCGGAGGGGATGTTTAATGCTGGTGATAGTGCTATTTACAGTTGGATGGTAATGTTCTTGTTATATGTTTAAGTACATTGCTGTATTTTGCAATAACTCAAATAATAAATTGCAGTGATGACTTTGTACACACTCTTGTACATTTTTTTGCGGATACACTAGTATCTTAGTTGCTTAATTGAGATGAGTGGACTATTTGTGTTCGAGATGGGATCTTCAGTAATTACTTTTTTTTCCAAAGAATATGTTAAGATAATTTACTCACTAAGTATAAAATCAAAATGTTAATTGTGGACAAAATAATGAAGAAATAAATTAAGATTAAATAGTATGAAGGTATTAGTGATTACTTAAAAAGAAAATATTTAAATTAATCCTGTTGATTAGGTCAAAGGAACTGGATTAAATTAAAAACTGTGTTTTATAATTAAAAAAAAAATCAAGATTCAATCTGCTATAAATGGACAAGTTGTGAGTGGGTGTATGAAGCATATTTACTTGTGGAACCCTGCTGGAGCTTTCTGATGTGGAGTGTGATACACCAAAATGGTCATCACGACCTCCTGAGTTGACTAGGCTAATTAAATAATCCTCCAAATAAAGGGTCAGCAAAAATATTTTGGTACAGGAGTACGGGGCTATACTGGGGCTTTCCAAAAGGAAGTGTGATAAACCAAACTGATCACCATGATATCCTATATTGATTAAACTAATGAGAATTTAGCTACCATAATTGCCCAATTATAGAGAATTTTATTTGCATCAATTTCTTAGCACTGCCTTGGCTATTACTGTACTGCATTTGGAACAGAGCCAAGTGCAGGAATGGTTTAGGGCAGCAATAAGTTGAACAATTTTGAAATTATTGAAGTGCAAAACACTGGGAAAGAGTACATAAATTTACTTCTTCTAGTTGAGGGCTCTTTTCAATTAACATTTGAAGAAAGCATACTTGAAATCTTCTTTCAGATTGCAAGAAAATGGAGGACATGGAAGGATCCCTGTTACAACAATCTGGAACTGTGCAGTGCTGTTGCTGCTTCTGCTGCAACAGGTGTGATCATTTGACATTTTCTAAATGGTTCTGTACTTCGCCATGGCCATCGTGAGAGAACTTTTAACGAAGCATCACTGAATATTGATCCCACTAAGTGATCCCTGACACCTGTCTGATCAACGATGCTAATATCTCTCATTAAACGTAAAAATCAAAACCACAACTTTGGTCCAACGGACCAAGAGGCCATGTGGTATTATATAAATTGCAGTACACAAGTAATTTTTAAGAATGATTTTGATCATTTTATTTCTTTATATTAAACTCACTTCTAAATAATGTCCATCATAGATTAGTTTTATGATTTAAGAAGTATCAACGGTAAAGCTTTTATGAACCAGTAACAATGCACCAAAACATCTGTTTTTTTTAATTGGTGTATTTTCAAGTGGCCATTAAGTACTGTACAACTGATATGCAAAGCAGTTTCAAATTTGAATTTAAGTAAAACTTGTACAGTTTTGGGTGAATTGGTGATGCTTCCACTGTTAATAATGGGTATGCATAGCCCAAGAAAGCACTCTGTTACTTGAACTTCACGCCTACAGTGAAAAGTAAATTTGAAAGGTTCCGAAAGAAAAACAATTGATGGAAACTTGCTAAACTTCATCTGCAACAATTTTGCATTAGCAGAGAGCTAACTCTTTGCTAAAAATAGACTTAATGAGATGTTGATGTTGTAGAACAAGACTCTGCATGTGCTTATACCTAGAATTATAAAGCGCTCAATGTTCCTTGCTTTACAAGCGATGCAGAACTTGCAATGTAACTCACAACTCTGACTCCCACATTGACTAAGTAAGTATTCATCTCAAGTGAATATAACTCTGACCTGATCATTTTACCTTGTACACATAGTCCATTGAACTTTTCTTGTATATTTTAGTTATCTTGTTAAGTTGCCTATACTACCCAGGTGAAGGGACTCCACTCCAGAGCACTAGTGCCCAAACTGCATGGAGGTGCTCAATAGCAGTAGGTGAATTGACTGCCTGTTTTCATTCCCTGTAAAAATTGTAAGAGAGCAGTGGGAAGAAAATTGGAAAATTAAAAAAGTACCAGCTAACTTATTTCTTGGACAAATTGTATCTAGATTTAATATTTGTAGTCAGGGATGGAGTGAGGATGGTCTTTTTTTGATGCAGTGATTAGTAATGACCTAGAGCTCACCACGCATGAGAATGGTGGAAACCAAGCTGATCAATGACTCTAAGCAATACAGATGGGCACTTGAAGGAAATGAATTATGAGGATAAGAGTAAGGGATTGGGAGTGACTGGATTGTTCTACAGGGAATCGATGGAATTCACTAGGCAGAGTGCAGAAGATGCCCGGATACTGAGTAAATTTAAGGAAAGCATAGACAGATTTTTCATTAGTAACAGGTTTAAAGGAGAGTGAGCATGAAAGTGGAGTTGAGGCCGAGATGAGATCAGCCATGATTATATTGAAGACGGAGCAGGTGGAGGGGCTGAATGGCCTGCGCCTGGTTTTTATGAGCCTCACAGGCACAATGGCCTTCTTCATTACTCTGTCTACGACTGCATGATCCTATGACAGCTTTTTCGAACAAAATAGCCCCTTGACCCCAAGTAAAGTCTATCCCTATTAAGGTAAAACAATAAGGATCAAACTCATCTCCAAAAGATCCCATTATTATTTGCCCTAGTGTCAACAGATGAAAGAACCACGTGAACAATTGCTGAGCAAACATCGTCAACATTTCGCAAAGTGGTGATTTCAATATTTCATAAGCATATTTGTGAAAGGTTTTGCTTTATTTTGCATTATCCCACATTAAGCCGATACTATTAGGGTCTGGCGGGCAGTAGAAACTGCCTTCCGAATTAGACGATTTGGGGGGGCGAAAAAACATCACTTCTCCTGGGAATCCAAGGGCCCCTCACTGTCGTTCCAGTTCTTTTTGCTGCTTTTCTTGCGGTTTCTCTCGGCCATGACAATGGCAGCGACGACTGTCACCAGCACCGTCCCAGTTATCACCAGCACAGTAGCAGTCTCAGCGATACAGAGCTGCGAGTCCACAGCCATCAGCAAGTCACCTCGGAGCTGCCCGGGCTCTGAACAGCTGATGTTGCCATAATCATCCACATGCAGATGGCGAATACTGGAGATCTTCCCAAACTCCCTCTGAAGGTCACAGTTGCAAACCCAGCGGTTATCCGCAAGTTGCAGGTGAGTGCCCTGGGTCTGGATGTTCAAGAAGGTTTTGAACTTGATGTGGTTTAAATGGTTTCCATTTAGACACAGGAGGCTCAGGCTGTGCAAGGAAGCAAAGGCTTCTCCCTCGATGCTTGTAATGTTGTTGTTTTCCAAGTGCAGAGCTTCCAAGCTGTGAAGCATAAAGAAGTATCCAACCTCAATGATATGCAGCCTGTTGTTTTTCAACAACAGGTGGCGGAGTTTATACAAACCCCTGAAAACCCCTGTTGCCATGGAAGTGATTCTGTTCCCACTTAAGTCTAATTTCTCCAAATGCTCGAAAGACTTCATACTGTTGTAGTGGATGTACTCGAGCCAGTTGTTGGACAACCGCAGTTCCAGCAAGCGCTGTAACCTGTCCGAAAAGTCCGCAGGCAAGTGCTGTATGTGGTTCTGGTTCAGATCCAACCTCTCCAGGAAGGACAGAGATTGAAAAGCTCCCCGGTGGATGTGCTCGATTCGATTGTGAGGCAGCAGGATGATCCTCAGGCCCCAGAGGCCGTGGAAAGCACCGCTGGGGATTTCCCTCAAGCTGTTGGTACCGGAGTCTAACATCCAGGTGCTGTGCGGGATGTCCCTGGGAATGTGGCTCAGAGAGCGCCCTTTGCAGTCCACGAAATGCGAGGCATCGTAACAGGAGCAGCGTTGGGGACAAGCCTTGAACCCATCAATCTTCAGGACGCTCATCAACATCCCGAGACAACTGATAACAACTGGATGCATGTCTTCAACTTTCAGCGGATGCTTTGGGACAATGAGGCTTTTTGGGAGAATGGGAAACAAATTCCAAAGCGCGGGGAGCTAACGATTTAGGAAGTCTCCCTTTATAAATCTATGATCCCATTCAAGGGAGTTTCCTTAACCGCAAGCTTGCCAAATACTTGAACCGTTGAGATATGATAGATTGTTTGGTTTGTGTCATTTCCATCTTAGTGCTGTTTGTTATCCAATTCATCCTGTACAAAAAAATTGATTTTTTCTGTACATCCAGTCGCCCGCCTTTTTAAAATTGTGATAGAGAAAGGAAGTGAATATGTCAGTTCATCCTTGACTTTTCAGGACTTTGATCGCTTCAATCAGCGTCGCCGCTCCCTGTAACAGTGAATGAAACAATACACTTCTTAACAAGCGCTATAATAACATCATACAAAACAAACCCAAAGAACTACGGATGCTGCAAATCAGAAACAAAAGCAGAAATTGCTGGAAAAACTCAGCAGACCTGGCAGCATCTGTTGGGGAGAAAGCAGAATTAACGTTTCGGGTCTGGTGAAGAGGGTTCTGAAGAAGGGTCACTGGACCCGAAATGTTAATATCATTAGACTCCTAATCTAGAGACCTGTCTAACAATCGAGAGACACAAGCTGCTGGTGAAGTTTAAATTCAGCGAATTAACACATGACTCCAAACCCACAACAATGTGGTGCACTGTTAACTGCCCTCTGAACTATTGCCTTCTGAACTCAGGCCAAGGGCAACAAGTGCTGGCCAGAAATGGGCATTTTTTTTATGTTCACTGAAGGCACAGAAAGCTGCCGCCAAATAAACAGCTGATGTCTGATCTTTTCCCATTCTTCATCAGATGCACGAAGGCATTTTTTGTTTTTTTTTCACAGGATTTGAACATCACTGACTAGGCCCAACATATATTGCTCATCCTAATTTTCCAAAGGGTAGTTGAAAGTCAAATCAGATTGTTGTGGGTCTGGAGTCAGATGTAAGCTTGACCAGGTAATGGCGGCAGTTTCATTCCCTAATAGTGTATTAGTGAACCAGATGGTTTTTTCGATAATCGACAATGATTGTGTGGTCATCATTAGACTCTTAAATTCAATCTCATAGATCTGGAATTAAATTCTATCATCGCCCATGATGAACCTCGAAAGCTGGCCTCCAGAACGTTACCTGGGTCTCTGGATTAATAGGCTATCAATAATACCACTGGGCCATCACTTCCCTTAAAGCTGACAAAAAATGTGCATTAGGGAGGCAATAGGCAACAAGAGATAACATCAACAGCACAGGAATCATTAGACTGGAGTGGTATAGCATCTAGTTTGGGTCACTTTAACTTTGGGAACTGTCCACATTGTAAGGACCAGGAAGTGATTCACAAGATTATTTTTCGTGACGAGAAACGACTAAATAAACTGGTGCTCTCTTCAAATAAAACAAAGATGCCTTGAGTTCCAATTCACATGTTCAAACTTGAGTATTGTTTTGATAAACCAAATAGTCAAAACAAGTTTTCATTAATTCATGAGTACATTAACTGGAACAAAGACATTTAAAATCATGAAAAGAACAAAGGAAACAGATTTTGATGCAGACAGCTATTGGACATTTTCGATTGGAATGTTTATAGTGGTGGAAGCAGATTCTACAATAATAA